CTTTCCACACAGGCGCCTGCCGGGTTCTCAGGAACCTTGAGCGCCAACGATCCCAGGGTAGCCGCCACAAGCTAAGTAGTTCAGGGCGCGACGAATCCACTCCAGGCAGGCGGAGCGCAGCCGGCGGCTGCGCCGAGAGGGCAACGGACGTCCACCGCGATGCCAGGGGCGCCGGCTGGCCGAGGTGTCCCGTGCAGCGGTGGGAAGACCGGGCGGGACCGCCTGGCCCGGGAAGCGGCTGCAGCGTCGGTGAGCAGGGTCCCTGGGCAGCCGGGCGTCTGGCATCCTCTGGGCCCCAGGCTGTGGGGCAGGAGTGGGCTGCGCTGGGCTCAGGGGTAAGGTGCTCCGGGCTGTGGGCAAGACGCCCTCCTGCAGGTACTTCCAGTGCAGCCTCCAGCAAGGGCTGGCAAGCAGTTCCCCGCGGTGGTCATCGCTGTCACGTGGAGCTTCTCCCAGCACGGGATAGAAGGGCAGTGGCCAGGGCCCAGAGTCCCCTGAGGTCAGCAGAGCTAGAGCTTGGGACTCTGGAAGGCTGGGTGCGGAATCCCAGGCCGTCTTCATACCATGGAGGAGAGGCTGCTCCATGGCTTACACCTGGACCCAGGAGGTCGCAGGCCTTTCTGCTGCTGGTGGAGGCAAAGGCTACAGTGAGTCCACCAGCCATAGTATGTATACTCTCCTGGCCCTGGGTGGAGTCAAGCCAGAGATGACAAACAGGATGTAACAAATGGAAGAATAAAAAACAGTACCTAGAACAGGAACTGAAAATCGTCAACCAAATACGGTACCTAGAACTGAAACTGAGAAATGGTCCAGAAGGCAGGCAGTTATAGAAATTCAGAGTGAGAGGGCAGACCAAGAGCTAAGAAACAGAACCACCACCAACCATACAGGAAATGAGGCCTACATAAAGCAGGGAATAGTTGGCGGTGCAAATCCATGTCGAACATGGTCCCAAGTTAAAAATAAGACACAAGTGACTTCACTAGAAAACACAGTGAAGGCCACTGTAAGTCAGTAGTTGCAATGAAATGCTGGAAACCCGTCTAATTTATAGGCAACTGAGGTCAGTCCTTCTGATGGAAACAGGTTCGAGGGGAAAGCAACCTCAAGGAGTGAAACAGTGAGCATTTCTACCACAGACACAGATACCCTTATAAACTGTACACATGGGCCACAGACGCGATCTCACAGAACACGATAACGAGCATGAAGTCAAAGCTATAGGCAAAGGGAATGCACTAAAGGTCGACGGAAGGACCGTGGTGGGACAGCGTGTGGAGCTAAATTGATATATGCTGTGAATTCACGGAGGAAATTACGGAGAGGAGGTGATGGCTTACAGTTGGAAATAAGCTGGGGTCATTTTATTCTCATGACTTCTACGTAAATGCGAATACAATTTACCTTCAAATGTAAATGTAAACCTCAAACGCCCTGAAAGAGACTTTGTGTGGCTGGCAAACCGTTCAGAAGACACTGACTCTGCACAGAAGAAAATGCAAACGTTGTTAAAAGATGCATGAGCTGTGAAGTCTTCCAGCGGCGCCTTGCCACCCCTGAGCCCACCTGTCCAGGCCGGAGCGAGCACAGTGAAGGCCTCGCAGGAGTTCACAGCGCTGCAAACGCCCTTGGGCGCTAAGACCTTACTCGACTATGACGACGCCCGTCCTGCAGCAAGCACGGGTGTAGGGGAACGTGCAATGTGCGAACCAGCTGGGCTCCACCAGCACTGCTGCATCGTGTCACACGCGGTTGGCAGGTGGTGGTGTAAGGGAGCTGCGAACCGCCGCCCAGAGAACAGCCGCTCTGGACCGCCGCTGGGTGGTGCTGCCTCTGCCGCCCGTGGAGAAAGCCCAGGCGGCACCATCAGCAGAAACTGAAACTAAGTCTGAGAAACCGCGGGCGCCCGCGGTCCTGCCGGCTGCCGCTGCCAGAGGCTCCCTGGAGCACCTAACTGTGCCGGGACCCAGCAAGGGCAGGCGACTGCAGGCCGCCCAGTCCTGCCCAAGGCAAAAGTCCTGTCTCCCTGGGGGGCTACTCTCCGTTTGGACGCCCGCCGTCTCGGTGGCCTCGCGCGGATCGAGCCCCGACAGCCAGGAGTGTTGCCTTTGCCCGGGACTGGGCTGCGCCAGTCGGCTGGCCTTGCTGACTCCCTGCTCGGCCGGTAGGTGCTCCAGGGCGCCCGCTGACGGGGCGGCCGGCGGGACCGACGGCGACGCGCTTTCTCAGACTTAGTTTCAGTTGCAGCTGAAGGCCCAGCGCGGATTTCCCCGTGGGCGGCGGTGGCAAAACCACCAAGCCGTGACCCGAGCTGGCTGCTCTCCGGGCGGCCATGGCCTCTCCCCAGCTCAGCCACCGCCCAACCCCTCGGGGAGCGGCTCAGGCGCGCAGGTCCCGCCGAGCTGGTTTGTCCGTAGCTCGTTCCGCTAGAGCCCTGCGTGCGGCAGGTCGGGCGCCTCCGGAGACCAGTTGTATTGGGGGACTCCGTGCCCAGGCCTGTGACTGTGGCTTGCCCGCCAGCCTCTTCCTGCAGACACGGACTCCCTGGAGAAGAAAGACTTTACTCAGCGAAGGTCCTCAGTTCTTAGGGATTGTTTTGAGGACAAGTCCTTGGTTCTTGGGACACCAACACAGAGCATCATGCAGAAAGACCCCCTCCACAGATGGGGCTTCATCTGCATGCACCCCCGCAAATTGTGCCCGCGGGCCACAGACGCGGTCTCAGAGCGCACGGGAACAAGCAGTGAAGTCAGAGCGGGGGAGCTGGGTCAGGGAAAGGGAATGAGCGAACGGATGGACCGTGGGCGGGAACGTGTGTGAGGCTACGATGAGCTGTGCCGCGAATTTACGGAGAAATTTACTCCTTATCCACAGCTGGAGAAGAGGTGATTGCTTATAATTTGAAACAAGCTGGTTTCATTTTATTCGCGTAAATGTGAATGAAAATTACCTTCCAATGTATTTTTTTTTTAATTTTCTAGAGGCATGTCTTATTTATTTATTTGTTTGTTTGTTTGTTTGGTTTATACATGCACTGGGTACAGTCAGAAGCGCGGGAGGGTGAGAGAATTCACCAGAGCCAGAGCGGGGAGCAGAGCAGGCAGAAGGACCGAAGGACACTGCTGAGGGGAGCAGCGGGCGGCAGGAGAGGTCTGCGCGCCATGTGGGACCCTGCTCCTGTGGCCTGGGAGCAGCCAGGGATCGAACCGGCACCGCAGTGGCCGCGGGCAGCTTCGCAACCCAGCGCTCAACCGCTGCGCCACCGGGGAGGCCCTTCCAATGTATTTTAAAACTAAAACGCGCTGAAAGAAACTTTCCCAGGGCGAGCGATTCGCAGACGCTGAAGCCACAGAGGAGAAAGTGCAAACGTGGTTAAAAGATGCAGCGAGCGGCGCCTTCTCGCCCTGCAGTCTCCGGGCGGCGCCTGGGCCCCCCCAGGCCCGCAGTCCCGGCCCGAGAGAGCAGGCGGAGGCCGCGCAGGCGTTCAGGGCGCTCCAGACGCCGTTCCCGGGAAGGCCGGCCGGGCTGGGCTCGACCCCGCGGCGCGGTCCTCTCCGCGCAGGGCGCAGGGGACGTGCCGCGTGCGCACCAGCTCGGCCGGGCCCGCGTCGCTGCAGCCGCTCGCCGCGGGGCTGGGGCTAGTGACGCCGGGAGCGAGGAACGGCAGCCCGGAGACCAGCCAGGTCGCGGCCGCCACTTGGTCCTGCTGCCGCCACCCCCTCCCCCCCCCCCTCCCCGGGGTTGAAACCCGCGCTGCACTTTCAGCTGCAACTGAAACTAAGTCTGAGAAACCGCGGGCGCTGGCATCCTGCCCGCAGCTGCGGTCTAAAGGTTTCCTGTGGGCGTCTAAGGTGCCTGACACCAGCAAGGGCCGGCGCCTGCAGGCAGCCCAGCCCCGGCCACAGGCGGGATCCCGGCTGGCGGGGCCGCTGCGCTGCGAGGCCGCGGAGACCGCGGGCGCCGGGACGGAGCGTGGCTGAGGCGGAGACAGGCTGCAGATCGCCGCGTTCCACGCTCCACCGGGCTCCAAATGCCCCCAAGGCCAGCAGCAAAGCAGCATTTAAGCCTCGTCAGCAAAATTTCATGGAGGGGGTGTGGAAACGTAGGCGAAACCGATTTCTCTGTACAAATGCCCGTGGGAGTCAGAAAGGAAACCCGAGTCACCCTCTCCCAAGGGCGTGGTCACCGCTCTTCAGCCAATCGCCCGCGCTCTGGAAAGCGGGGTGCACCGCACGTGCTCCTGGACGCGGCCTGGTGCTCGCCTTTCACTCGGTTTCGCCTGAGGAGCAGCTGCAGGTGCGCAGCGCCGAGCTCCCCCGCGGTTCCCCGCCCCGACGGCGTCCTCTCTGGCGCGCTGGATTCCGTCTCAGTAAAATGCTCTCATGGGCTCCAGCCCTCGGGTTTGTTCTTCTAACAGTCAGCGAGGAGGGAACTTGAATGGTCAGCGGAGCCAGGCAGTCAGCGAGTCACGGAGGCGCACGGCGTCCCCGGCTCTCATTGACTCCAGAGTCGCAGCTCAATGTCACGGGCAGTTAGGGATAAATCGGTTTCGCCCACTTTTCCACACACTGTTGAAACGTTGCTGAAGAGGATTAAAAGCCTTTCTTTTTGTGTGTGTGCCGGGCTTGGGGGCATATGGAGCCCGGTCCACCGCGGAACACGGCGACCTGCAGCCGGTCTCCGGTCAGCAACGCCCGGTTCCGGCGCCCGCGCTCCCCGCGGCCTCGCAGCGCAGCGGCCCCGCCAGCCGGGATCCCGCCTGTGGCCGCACCGGGCCCCGCAGACGCCGCCCTCGCTGGTCCCCGGCGCTCCATGGTCCCCTTCTGACCACGGCAGCCGCAGCGCTGCCCAAAGGCGACCCCAACTGCAAGGAGGAACTTCAGGACACAGTGACCCAGAAATAGGCAACAAACTCCGCAATGTTTCTGAACACGCTTTTATTTTAGGGCCCAGAATCTGTTCCTGGGGAGCTTTCCACACAGGCGCCTGCCGGGTTCTCAGGAACCTTGAGCGCCAACGATCCCAGGGCAGCCGCCACAAGCCAAGTAGTTCAGGGCGCGACGAATCCACTCCAGGCAGGCGGAGCGCAGCCGGCGGCTGCGCCGAGCGGGCAACGGACGTCCACCGCGATGCCAGGGGCGCCGGCTGGCCGAGGTGTCCCGTGCAGCGGTGGGAAGACCGGGCGGGACCGCCTGGCCCGGGAAGCGGCTGCAGCGTCGGTGAGCAGGGTCCCTGGGCAGCCGGGCGTCTGGCATCCTCTGGGCCCCAGGCTGTGGGGCAGGAGTGGGCTGCGCTGGGCTCAGGGGTAAGGTGCTCCGGGCTGTGGGCAAGACGCCCTCCTGCAGGTACTTCCAGTGCAGCCTCCAGCAAGGGCTGGCAAGCAGTTCCCCGCGGTGGTCATCGCTGTCACGTGGAGCTTCTCCCAGCACGGGATAGAAGGGCAGTGGCCAGGGCCCAGAGTCCCCTGAGGTCAGCAGAGCTAGAGCTTGGGACTCTGGAAGGCTGGGTGCGGAATCCCAGGCCGCCCTCACACCATCGAGGAGACGCTGCTCCATGGCTTACACCCAGACCCAGGAGGACGCAGGCCTTTCTGCTGCTGGTGGAGGCAAAGGCTACAGCAGATCCACCAGCCTAGTATGCATACTCTCCTGGCCCTGGGTGGAGTCAAGCCAGAGATGACAAACAGGATGTAACAAATGGAAGAATACCAGGTACCAAGAAATCGTGTGAAAGATAGGCAACCCGATCAACTCCTAGCCTTAACAACAGGATGTAGCAAATAGAAGACTGAAAAACAGTAAGTAGGCAGGAAGCCAGCAATCGTAAACCAAAAACGGTACCGAGAACAGGAACCGAGAAATGGTGAAGGTAGGTACCTATAGACAATTGGAGTGGGAGCGGAGACAAAGTGCTAAGAAACAGAACCACCAGCAACTGTACAGGAAACGAGGACTACATAACGCAGGGAACCCTTGGTGGTGCAAATTGGTATATAGAATAAGCGAATATCATCTTGAGGGGACACAAGTGACTTCACTAGAAAACACAGTGAAGGGCACTGCAAAAGATGAAAAGAAATTGGGCAAACCTTACATGCAAGCCAAATGTAACACGGGGATTTGTTGGTGTAAGTCAGTAGTCTGAATGAAATGCTGGAAACTCATCCAAAATATATGCAGCTGAGGTCAATCCTTCTGATGGAAACAGGTGTTGAGGTGAAAGCAACCTCAAGGAATGGAACAGTGAGCATTGCTACCACGGACACAGATACCCTTGCAAATTGTACACGTGGGCCAAAGTCAAGATCTCACGGACAGGATAAGGAGAGTGAAGTCAAAGCTATTAGATGTCAGGCAAAGTGAATGCCCTAACGGATGACAGATGGATCCTGGTGGGAACCATGTGTGGAGCTAAATTAATATATGCTGTGAATTTAAGGAGGAAATTACAGAGAGGAAGTGAGAGCTCACAGTTTGAAATAAGTCATTTTATTCTCATGACTTCTACATAAACATGAATACAATTTAACTTCAAATGTAAATGCAAACCTAAAACGCCCTGAAAGAAACTTTGCATGGCTGGCAACCCATTCAGGACACTGACTCTGTACTGAAGAAAATGCAAACGTAGTTGATAGATGCAGTGGGCTGTGCTTTCTGGCTGTGCAGTCTTCCACTGGCGCCTTGGTGCCGCCGGGCCAGACGTCTGGCCTGAAAGAGCACAGTGAAGGCTGCGCAGGCCTTCACGCGGCTGCAAACGCCCTTTGGCCCTAAGACCTTCCTCGAGCACGGCGACGCCCGTCTTTTGGGGCGCACACGTCTAGCAGAACGTGCTTTGTGCAAACCAGCTCCACACCACCAGCACTGCTGCCTCGTGTCGCAACGGGATTGGCGGGTGGCGGTGTAAGGGGCCGCGCATGGCCGCCGGCAGAACGGGCAGCTGGACCGCCGCTGGGTGGTGCTGCCGCCGCCCCAGAGGGAGAAGCCGCGGCCGCATGTGTAGCTGCAGCTAAAACTAAGTCTGAGTAATCGCGGGCGCGGCAGTCCTGCCGGCTGCGCGTTCTGAGGGTCCTTGGAGCGCTTAACTGTGCTGGAGACGAGCCAGGGCCGGCGCCTGCAGCAGCCCAGCCCCGGCCACAGGCGGGAGTCCCGGCTGGCGGGGCCGCTGCGCTGCGAGGCCGCGGAGACCCGGGCGCCGGAACGGAGCGTGGCTGAGGCGGAGACAGGCAGCAGATCGCCGTGGTACACGCTCCACCGGGCTCCAAATGCCCCCAAGCCCAGCAGCAAAGCAGCATTTAAGGCTCGTCAGCAAAGTTTCATGGAGGGTGTGTGGAAACGTAGGTGAAACCGATTTTTCTTTACAAACGCCCGTGGGAGTCAGAAAGGAAACCCGAGTCACCTTCGCCAAAGGCCTGGACATCACTTTTCACGCGATCGCCTCTCCCTCTGGAAAGCGGGGTGCGCTACACGTGCTCCGGACATGCCTGTCCCAGCCTTTCACTCGGTTTTGCCTGAGAAGAAGCTGCAGGTGCACAGCGCCGAGCTCCTCAGCGGCTTCCCGTGTCCTCTCTGGCACGTTGGATTCCTGCTCAGTGAAACACCCTTATGGACTCCCGCGCTCCGGTTTTTTCTTTGAAGTTACAGTGGAGGAAAATTGGAAGGTAAGGGAGCCCAGATAGTTCCCAGTCGGGTGCGCAGTCGGCGACCAGGCTCCCGGAGGCCACGGTATGCTCTGACTGCAGTTTCGTTTCTCATTTCCACCGGCATTTACCACGAAAATCCGTTTGGCCTACGTTTGGACAAACTCTTATGAAACGTTGCTAAAGAGGTTTAAAGTCTATTTACGTGCAGGGCTTGAAGGAATATGGAGCCCGGTCCGACTGTAGCGGGGCGACCTGCAGTCTGCCTCCCTGGCTGCAGCTCTGCGTTCGGACATCGCGGTCTCGCCCGACAGCGCCGCGGCCCCGACGGCCGGGACTCCTGCCTCTGGCCGGGACTTGGCTACGCACTCGCCGGCCCTTGCTGGCTCCTGGTTCCGGTAGGCGCTCCATGGGCGCCTTCTGACCTGGGCAGCGGGCAGGACCCCCGGCGCCCGCGGTATCTCAGACTTAGTTTCCGTTGCAGCTGAACCTGCAGCCTTGGGTTTCTGCATGGGCGGCTGCGGCACCACCCAGCGGTGGCCGGGAGCTGGCTGTCTCCGGGCGGCATCCGCAGCTCCCAGCTCAGCCACCGCCCAAGCCCGCGGGGAGCGGCTCCGGCGCGCAGGTCCCGCCGAGCTGGTTTGTCCGTAGCTCGTTCCCTAGAGCCCTGCGTGCAGCAGGTCGGGCCCCGCCGGAGACCCGCGAATCGCGGAACTCGGTGCCCAGGCCCTGACTGGGGATGGCCCGCAGGCTCTTACTGCGTACGCGGACTCCCTGGAGGAGAAAAGGCCTTGACAGGAGACTTTACTCAGCGAAGGTCCTCAGTTCTTACGGAGACTTGTGGAGGATGAGCCCTTGGTTCTTTGGGCAGAAACACAGAGCATCATGCAGAAGATCTCCCTCGACAGAAGGGGCTTCATCTGCATGCACCCCCGCAAATTGTGCCCGCGGGCCACAGACGCGGTCTCAGAGCGCACGGGAACAAGCAGTGAAGTCAGAGCGGGGGAGCTGGGTCAGGGAAAGGGAATGAGCGAACGGATGGACCGTGGGCGGGAACGTGTGTGAGGCTACGATGAGCTGTGCCGCGAATTTACGGAGAAATTTACTCCTTATCCACAGCTGGAGAGGAGGTGATTGCTTATAATTTGAAACAAGCTGGTTTCATTTTATTCGCGTAAATGTGAATGAAAATTACCTTCCAGTGTAAATTTAAAACTAAAACGCACTGAAAGAAACTTTCCCAGGCGAGACTTTCGCAGACGCGGAAGCTGCAGAGGAGAAGGTGCAAACTTTGGGCCTCCCTGGTGGCGCAGCGGATGAGCGCTGGGCTGCGAAACTGCTCGCAGCCTCTGCAGTGCCGGTTCGATCCCCGGCCACCGGCGAGGGTCCCACTTGGCGCGCAGACCTCTCCCGCCGCGCCCGCGGCTCCCCACACAGCAGTGTGTTTCGTCGGTCTGCCTGTTCTGTTCCCTGCTCTGGTGAATTTTCTCACCCTCCCGCGCTTCTGACTGTACCCAGTGCTCGTATAAATAAATAAATAAATAAATAAATAAAAAAAAAAAAAAGAAAAGAAAATGCAAACGTGGTTAAAAGATGCAGCGAGCGGTGCTTTCTCGCCTTGCAGTCTCCGGGCGGCGCCTGAGCCCCGCCAGGCCCGCAGTCCCGGCCCGAGAGAGCAGGCGGAGGCCGCGCAGGCGTTCAGGGCGCTCCAGACGCCGTTCCCGGGAAGGCCGGCCGGGCTGGGCTCGACCCCGCGGCGCGGTCCTCTCGGCGCAGGGCGCAGGGGACCAGGGGACGCGCCCGTGCGCACCAGCTGGGCTGGGCCCGCGTCGCTGCAGCCGCTCGCCGCGGTGTGTGGGCGAAGCCTGCAAGAACCGCCGACGGGGAACAGCCGGCTCGCGGCCGCCGCTGGGAGGTGCTGCCGCCGCCCGTGGGGAAACCCGCGGCTGCACGTTCAGCTGCAACTGAAACGAAGTCTGAGGAGCCGCGGGCGCCGGCGGTCCTGCGGGTGCCGCGGTCAGAAGGCGACCATGGAGCGCCTAGCGGTGCCGGGGGGGAGCGAGGGCGGCGCCTGCAGCAGCCCAGCCCCGGCCACAGGCGGGATCCCGGCTGGCGAGGCCGCTGCGCTGCGAGGCCGCGGAGAGCGCGGGCGCCGGGACGGAGCGTGGCTGAGGCGGAGACAGGCTGCAGCTCGCCCTGTGCACGCCCCGCCGGGCTCCGTAGACCCAGGTCCAGCAGCAAAGCAGCATTTAAGGCTCGTCGGCAAAATTTCATGGAGGGGGTGTCGAATCTTAGGCGAAACCGAGTTTTCTTTACAAACGCCCGTGGAAGTCAGAAAGGAAACCAGAGTCACCTTCGCCAAAGGGGCCTGGACATCACTTTTCACGCGATCGCCTCTCCCTCCGGAAAGCGGGGTCCGGACATGCCTGTCCCAGCCTTTCTTTCTTTCTTTCTTTCTTTTTTTTTTTTGTGGGACCCACCCGGCGCCCAGGGAACCGACCGGCGCTGCATAGCCTGCGGGCAGCCTCGCAGCCCAGCGCTCAACCGCTGCGCCACCAGGGGAGGCCCGCCTGCCCCAGCCTTTCACTCGGTTTCGCCTGAGGAGAAGCTGCAGGTGCGCAGCGCCGAGCTCCCCAGCTGTTTCCCGCCTGACGGCGTCCTCTCTGGCGCGCTGGATTCCTGCTCAGTAAAATGTTCTCATGGGCTCCAGCCCTCGGGTTTGTTCTTTTTAAAAAAAAAAGAGATTTATTTATTTATACAAGCACTGGGTACAGTCAGAAGCGCGGGAGGGTGAGAGAATTCACCAGAGCCAGAGCGGGGAGCAGAGCAGGCAGAAGGATCAAGGCACACTGCTGAGGGGAGCAGCGGGCGGCAGGAGTGGTCTGGACCCTCCTCCGGTGGCCGGGGAGCAGCCGG